TTATACTTGACTAGAGTATCATAAGATAGTACTGTATATATTTTCTAAATCCAAACATGTGTAGGTGGCCTAAATGACAGCTAATTAGTAAATCTACAAACCTTCTTTATATGTAATTCCGCATCAGTCACTGTTGTGCTCTTAATTTCTTCACTTGGTTTGCTTACAACGCCTTCAACGATGACAATCGATTCAACCGAAACACTAATCAGTGCCGTATGATTACCATTAATGTAATACAACTTATAAAACGAATTGAAAGAAAAAAATGTGATATATACTTGGCAGCAAACTTGACAAAACCTTTACTAACAGTTTTTTCGTCAACTTGAAGAACCCCTTGAATCGTAGAGTCTTGGTGTCGAAAGACGAAAAATCCGATTTTACCTGAAAACGACCTTAAAACTGTAACGATATACATATATATAACTTCACAATTAAAATAACACATACCAGTTACGCGCGAAGTATGCACGCGAGCTCTGATATTAACGGTTTCTCCAGCTCGGCTAGCATTTATATCAGCAATCCGGGTTCGTTGAACACCTACAAATAAACATATATTTCAATGTTAAGTGAAACAATTCGCAAAACAATATTGAATTTAGATCACACCTTTTCTCTCTTGTGATTGGTTTAAAGGAAGCTTGCCATAATTTTCTGAGCCATAGTTCTATCAAATGGTATAATAGTATGTCGGTTTTCAGTCAATCATAGCATATTTAATATAATATAGGTTACTAGAAGAGGTTTCAGTTGCTTTCTTTCGTTTGTCGAATTTAATTGGCAATTTTTGAAAAATCACGGGAATAAAAAGTACTTTAAAACGCTTTAAAGCGTATAAAAAGTTAAAAAAATTTTTTTTATTCAATTGTACCGATCATTACCAAATCGGGGTTTGTCCACCATGCTGTATATTTAGCACTCCAAGTCGGTATAAGTCGGTACGTACGTACAACCAATAGGAGCATGGGGACGATTAGCTTAAAATCATGGTACCACAAAATCATCGAGATTTATGAAAGAATTTATGGGCGCGCCAACAGAAGAAACAAGTACAGAAGCGGCCGAGAACTCGGCAACAAACACAGTAAATGATGCTGCAGTAACAAACAAAACAACAAAAGATAAAAAGCCAACCACACACCGTATAGCTCTTGGAGATGTCACACATAATAATTTAGGACAACTTAAACGGTTAAATATTGTTCTTTTCCCCGTAAGCTACAGTGAAAAGTTTTATAAAGACGTATTAGAAGTTGGAGAATTTGCTAAACTTGGTAAAATAGAAAGTTATTATTTAGTTTGAAATTGAACAAAAACATATATATATATAATTTACATAGTTAATATTAAAATTTAGCATATTTCAACGACATATGTGTCGGTGCTGTTTGCTGTCGAAAAGAACCAATCCAAGATACCTTACCAGAACAAGCCAAACTTTATATAATGACATTGGGAGTTTTGGCGCCTTATCGTAATCTCGGAATAGGTATTAAACGATGAATAATTGACAAATTGATTACGCGAAGAATAAAAAAGAGGAAAATAAATAATTGAGAAAAAAATTTTTTTTAACATTTAGGTACAGCTTTGCTGAGACATATTTTACATCATGCAACATCGGGAGCACCATCCACACCAAAATTTACCGAGATATATCTTCACGTTCAAGTTTCTAATGAAGAGGCATTAGCATTTTATAAAAAATATGCTTTTGAAATTGTAGGAACAGTGGAAGGATATTATAAGAGAATATCACCACCAAACGCGTATGTGTTGAGTAGAAAATTGGTGAAAGATTAAAAGACATCATCTAATGAATTCTATTAAATATGTTAACAACAATGATGTAAAAAACATGTAAATATGCATAGAAATTTCGAGTTATGTATGAATTAAAAAAAATAAATTGAAGTATTATTCATTTATTGCATGATAAGAAAGTTAGGAATCTTTGAATTGTAAGAAGCCTTTATAGCTAGAATTATCATAGCGCAGAATGTAATTGTCCGGAGCGAAGCGAAGGACCTTTATGTTCTACAAAGTTTCGTTTTTGATGCTTTAAAATGTCAAAAAAGTAGTACGGGTGGGCAGATCAGTATGGTACGGGCCAAAATTAAAAACCATACCATACTGATCCGGTGTTATATATTACTAGCGTGCCGGAGGCACGGGTTAGGTGTGACTTTTTATCCGTGTAATGTTAAAAAGTTTTTTAAAAGTTACTTTATTATAATTAATTGAAGCCTTTGCTTACAAAATCATCCTTCGGACTATGATAGTCCTGAAGGATGATCTTGTTAGCAAAGGTCCCGATTTATTATTGTGAAAGGTTTTAAAAAAAGAACTAGCTAATAGATCATCTTCTAGTACCCACGTGTAAAGTTGTTAATAGGGTACTTCAGACTATAATAAAATATATAGCCCCATTTCAATAGATTTTTGGCTTTCCCACAAGATTTATATAACATAAAATCGAAATAATTGAAATTTAAATCAATAAACTACATTTTTAAGGTTAGGATTAAGACCAAGGAAGAAAATAGATTATACCAAAATTTGCAAAGAATTTTTTTGTTAAAACGCAAAAGACTTTTCATAAACAAAATTTGAGTTATTAGGATTTTTTTTTTTAAAAAAAAACAAGATATGATTTTATATTACACCGATCTAATTGGCTAAAACTCATTTCAAATAATTTTTTGTAGGAGAGCTAGGGAGTTTTTTATAGAGTCCTTTGAAGTAGATTACATATAACTGGTTTAAAATTTTTTATTAAAAAAATTTAGCTGTTAGGTTTGGCTAGAAAGTTAGATTAAAAAGAATTTTAATAATATCAACAATTTTGCAAAACAACTTTTTGTTAGTGCATAGGTGGTTTTATATTTGTTTTGATTTTTTGTTTTTTTTTATATTATACCTGATCTTAAAATCTGATTGGTTAGTAAAATTTTTAGATTGGTAATGTTAAAACAGTTGGCTATATATAGAGTTGATAATTTGCTATATTTTACAGAATATAGCAGAATTATAAAATCAGATTGTAAATATAGAATATATTAAGAACAGTACAAAGTTGGTACAGAAATAGAAATATATGTCTTTATAGAAATATAATTTTAAAATATAAATATAATTAAGTTTAAATTTTTAAACCATAAATTAATTGTAGAATATTAAAAATTTTAATTATAATTAATACAAGATTAATTAATTTTAATACTTAAAATTTTTGCAGGATTTGAATTTTTTAATTTTTTTATGAATAGATTTTACAATTTATAACTATAGAAAATTATTATTTTGAATTATATTTTATTATAGTTTAAATTATTTTAATTATACAAAAGTTTTTTACAAAAGTATTATATATTTTTTTTAGTCAAAGCTAGCTTTTTTGGTTTAATATTTTTATTAAATATACAAAAATTACTAGGATCTTCAAAGACTTTAGATATAGTATATTTTGATAAGAATAAATATAGATATATATATAACTTTAATTATTGTTTATTTAAGAGCTCTGCTATATTACTATAGTTACTCTTTATATCTAAAATTTATTTGTAGATTTTTTATTTAAACTCTTTAATCTGAGTTTTATATTAATTTAACCTAATCTTATTTAGAATTTGAGATATATAAATTATTTTATTTCTTAAAATCATATTAAATCAAATATCAAGCATATTTAAATTTGATTAAATCAAATCAACCTTAATTTGAATTTGAATTAATCAATTAAATCAAATTAAATCAAATAATATTTGAAAATTTTTAAAATTTTTAAAATTTTAGAATGATCTTAATGCTCACTAGAGGTGAAATTCATCAGTTATATGATTAGCCAATCAAATCACAGGATCTTTGTATAACAAAAATGAAGAATTTTTAGGAAAAAAACAAAAAATGTTAATATCTTAAATTTTTATTATAAAAACTTGTTTTATATCATTAAGTAAAAGTTTCCAGCACTTAATTTTATATATAATAAATACTTTAACCCTAATATAGTCCCTACCCTAACTCTAAAGTTAATAAAAAAAATTTTATTAAAAAATAATCAAACAAAACTATATACTGGTTAATTTCACTTATAGTTATTTCTAAATAAATTTAAAATTTTATTACTTTTTAAAAATTTTAATTTATACAAAATTTTACTAAAATAATCGATTTTGTATATTAAAATATTTTTCAAATCAAAATATCTTTGTTAAATAATATTACAAAGTTTATCAAAATGCTTAGTAAGTACTTGTTAAATATTTTCTAAATATTTAGCAAGTATTTATTGGGACTAAAGTATGTTAGAATATAGTTACAAATATTTATTATAAATACTTATAAAATATTTAAAAATTAAATATTTAATAAATATAAAATTTTATATTTAGCAAGTACTTAAAATTAAAAGTATTTTAATAGACAATTCATCTATCATAGCATGACCGAAATCTCTATATGCACGTATGGTTACACAAGATTTTATATAATAAAATCATATTAGAGGAATATATGTCATAAGGTAACACATGAAGGACAGCCCCGTTTGCTATGAAATTTCACTAGTTTTTTCTTTTGTCGTTATATAAATATAGTGTAGAGACCGAT